GACTGTTTTCTTCAAAGAGGTGAGTTCCATAATATAAGTTGCTGTTTTATCCTGGCAAACTCTTGATGTTGAAGTTCCGGTAGAGATCACATTGATGATTAATTTTTGCTTGTTGTAAAAGATGCTGAATATATGGTTTATAAGTTTCTTGGAGAGAAACTCTCTTGGGGAGCAGGAAAGCAGCTTTAGAATATTTTAGGTATCCCAGCCCACTCAGCATATTTCTCTGATGTATCCCATATATACATTTGCCTGGCTCTTGCAGAGAGACAGAAATCTTGTTTTACCAATCCCTACCTGAAACCTGATATTGGGTAGAGAGGCACTCTGTTCCTTCTGCAAGGCAACCTCCTCACTGCTTTTCTTAATGTACCTACAGCTGGAATGCTGCCATTACGTGAATTTCTGCCAATGTCTCAGCTCTGGAAAATTTCAAACGATTCCTTCCTCAGGAAGCAGGATCCTTGTAGATGTTCACACAGGTTGCCATTGTAAAAGGTAATGCAGGCCCATGCAAAATTTGGAAGCCCAGGGATTTTCACAATGGCACTTAAGGGCTGTTTTGTTTTCTTTCACTGGTTCCATTAAACTTGGAGGTGGTCCTACTTAAGAAAGTGAATGAAAGGCAAAAGTGTCTTCATACAATTTGAAAGTTGTTTTAAAGTAGGCAAAGCAATATACATCTAAAGAGAGGGATCATTTACCAGAGAATATGAAACTATCACTGTGTACTTCTTTCCCAGAGGACTGTGGTTGATTTACAAAACTGAAAGGTTATGGTGATGGAAGTGTTTTTGTTTACTCCAGGATGAAAGAGGAGGTTGTGCCATATGTTCAGAAGTATTTTCACATTTGTACCTTCATATGGGGTGAGTTTTGATACTGGAATCAGTTTTAGAACCACCACACAGTAGTAGGCTCACATTAAGCCAGAAGTAGTAACCAAAAAAAGAGTCAGTTCCGACTTTCAATCTCATGCTGGGCCCCAAAGTGGCCCCTTGTGCTGAATGCACAGTCTCTTCCCTTTCTTTTTGGTATGTAAAGCCCCATCTTTCTATCCCATCTTTTTTGCTTTTCAGTTCCCAGTGCCTCAGCAAGTAGAGGCCAAATCCTCATCCAGACACTGAAAAACCACCCAATCAGAATCTGGACCAGTTCTGCCAATCTGCAGCTTTGGACCACAATGCCCATAAATCTTGCCAGGGAGAATGGAAATTGGGGTTCAAGGCATTTGGAGGATGGCTATTTGGAGCAGGCTCTTCAAGTCTATAGACCTTCCAGCTGTTTCTTTCTGCCACATCCTCCATAAAATACAGAGTCTCTGACTCAAGTGTTCCAGTGTCTCCACTCTAATTAGGCTTGTCTTACCTCACTCCCTTGCCTTGTACTGGATATGTCTAAAATATGGTTCTGGTTCACAGAGTTCAGTGACCCTGCTAGTGTTATTACACTATGTGCTGGATATATATATAAATGTATGATTCAGAATTATGTACACCCTGGCATTTAGGTTGATTCATTACCTCATGTGTGATGACCAAATGGCCTTTCCTCACTACTGTTTTCCCCTGGTGCTTGAAACGGCAGAAAATTATACCAGGATGTGAAATTGGCTATCCCTGTTGCCAATCCTTGGTTTCCATTTATCACTTCTCTTCCAGTTTCTAGCAAAACATGGGCTTTCTCTAAGGTAATGGGGAAACAGAAGTTAAGGAATTTTATACGCCTTAAAGCTTCCCTTGAATGGATAGGAAATACTACTTCACTTATGGGCTAGGTCAGGGCCATCCAGTGGAGGGTGAAGATGGCCAAAATAGCAATAGCACTTAGACTTATATATTGCTTCACAGTGCTTTACAGCCCTCTCTAAGCGATTTACAGAGTCAGCGTATTGCCCCTAACAGTCTGGGTCCTCATGTGATTGCCATATGGTTGAAACTCTGCTTCTTGGAACAAGTGACATGCTGCACTTAAAAGAGATGGAGAGGGGGATTGGGTTGCTGTGGCCAAAATCTTCATTTTTTGTTGGAAACAAGATGAAGGCAACGTCATGGGGCATGTCAGAGAAAAAGTTGTCTTTGTGGCTCAGCTACCTTCCCCTATACCCTTCTTTCATGTCTTTTCCCTGAGTTTGATTTAGTGGTTGAAAGAAAACTCCACCAAAATTGGTGGAAATGCTTTGTGCCTTGCTTTTGGGTAACTAATTAGAAACCAAACCGCTTTTCTCTTGACTAATTGGATTGCCATTGAGGTATTATATAGCCATGCAAAAGTGGGGATCCAGAATTTAGCATAGAGTGCAAATCCAGACCAGGAGGTTAGCAGCCTCAAGTCAATGTGAATCAATTCTGCAGGAGGATTAATCCAGGAGGTTACCATTGTCAGCATAATCGTTTTTAAAATAATTATAATTATTTTTTCAGGCTCCAGCAGCAAATACTTGGACGGCAAGAGATGGGGCTGCAATAGTGATGCTAGAAGACAGAGGAGACTTTGTGCATTTAGCACAAGTATTAACTTTGGGGGCCAGAAGCTCTCAATGGGGGGAGAAACTCTGCAAAAGCCTTGCATGATGAGGAAGCTGCGGTTGCGTGGCGGAGAAGCCAGAGCACTGATCTCTCCACCCCTTTTTCCTTCCCTCATGGCTTGAGCTCAAGGCTTTTGGCTCCAAAAATGTTTTTGTGTGTGTGTGTGTCTCTCTCTGGAAAGTGGGAATGAAAAACTGCAGGAAATGAACATGAGGGTGAGGGTGACCCTGTTCCCGTATTTACAAGACTATATATAGAGGGCAGAAGAGGAAACTAGCTGGAGAGATTATTGTACCGTAATTGCAAGAGACTTGTGAGAGAAACGAGGAGTTTGTTGGCGTTACATATTCTTTTAAATCAACTGCTTACAATTAATAGCCTTCTAGATGTGTTAGAATTTCCTCCTAGAAATATGACCAACCCAATCTTGGAAGGCACTTGGAGAAATTTCTTTTGGTGTTGATAATTTGTATAAATGAGATTTCCCATTGAGGCAGAAGCAAACATGCATTCAAGAAGCATTCAAGTAAATGCAAACAGACCACAAGAGATAATCCTATCATGAGGAAAAGGCCACTGCTGATCATAGTAGGTAATATACATGATTTCTCATGATAACTGAGATAGTGGCTTGATAATTGTTATAAGTATTGATTTTTATAGTTGAAATGTAGGCATACTTTCTTAGAAATAAACCTTGTTGGTATCAGAAAATTTATTTACAAGAAAGCATGAAAACGATCACTTGGTAGATTCAAAGAAGTGAGTTGATCTAGTTCACCTAATCTTAGCCTTTTCTATTCAGATAACGCAGCAGATGGAAATGAACACTCATGGGATAAAACAGAAGTGTGAGGGATTCGCCATTCCTCTGAGTTTGTTCCACATAGGTGGTTTTTCTATTCCCTGAATTTGGAGATCACTTCAAAAGTTTTCCATTGGCCTGTTCTAGAAGCATTTGCTGGTTACTAGGCAGCTATCAAGTAGATCCCATCAACTAGTTGTGTTTGTGAAAAATAGGGGTCAGCCAGTGGTGGGATTCAATTTTTTTTACTACCGGTTCTATGGGCGTGGCTTGGTGGGTGTGGCAGGGGAAGGATACTGTAAAATCTCCAGTTGGGGTGGTATTTGCCAGTTCTCCGAACTACTCAAAATTTCCGCTATTGGTTCTCCAGAACTGGTCAGAACCTGCTGAATACAACCTCTGGGGTCAGTAACAACTTGCCTGGCTAACAACTTGCCTGGCAACACCTCTTTTGGCTCTTGCCAGACTTCCTACCTTGCCTAATATTTTTTTTTGAAACATAAAAAGAGTAAAAACTAACGGGAAGTATTCCTGTTATTAAGCAAAACACTAGTATTTTTATTCATAAGAATCTCTCAGGGTTCCATGTAAACCCTACTATGTATTCTTAGCAAATAAAAATGCTACATGGCTGCAACTTATCTTGGAAGTGCCTCTATACTTTCAAGATAGGGTGTGTGTGGGAGGGGAAGACAAAATTAAGTTGAAGTGGTGAAGAGTATAGCTGGGGAATGAGTGCACCTCATGAGTTTACTTTCTGGCAAGCGGGCATTATAATTGGCAGTGTCTACCGTGGCAGCCATTTTGTGAACTGGCAATCTCCATCACAAAAGCCATTTTGTCGGTGAAAATTCCAAATCACCCCAAGCACGATGCCTCCCCTTGGCAGAGAGCAGCCAGTATTGATTAGGAAATGGCTAGGTTTTCTTAGGTTTGGAAAGAATTAAAAGACCATCTGAGTTGTATACTTGACTTGTGAATGGGAAGTCATGGAAGAACAACTGAGGCAGACTATGTGGTGCCCTCTAGTGACTGACTATCTTTAACATATTATCTTTTCTGCTCAATGGCAGAACTGTTCAGCTGCAGGATTAACTATACTGCTCACTGAATGAATACTGTAGATGTTTATCTCTGTGTCATAGTATCATAATTAAATGCTTGATTTTCCACTAGTTCTTTCACTTACTCCTGCATGTTCACAGTCTGTTTAAACTACTTTCAAATTTAATGCTTCTGAACCCTGAGATTTGCCAGGGCTAGTGGATTTGTCTCTGCTGATGTCCCCTTTAAATCATGCTGCTGCCATTTTCCTTTGATATAGAATTCAACTCCCAGGCATGGAGACATGCTCAACTTTGTCTGCAGTGTCCCCTTTGTCCCTAATCCATGACTATCTCTGAATGCCTGTAAATGGAGATGATTTTTTAAGAGATAAAGGGTTTAGGATCCAGACACACAGGGGTGCGGCTAAAGAGGCAGCAGCTTGTAGCAGGGAAGTTATGGTAGCTGGAGCTGGCTGACTTGGAAATGGTTTTTACTTGACTGTTCCAGCACCCAACACAGACACGGACATAGACACGCACACACATTCACAGAGGCAGGGTGCCCAGTCTCCTCCCAGTCCTCCAGATGCTTCCAGCTTTGAAGCCGAGTATAGTGGGAGAAGGTGAGCAGGATCCTCCGCATTATGAAGGCTCCACAGCAGACAGGGGGACGCACTGACCAAATGCTAGGAGCCATGGGGGATATTCTAACATCGCTGGCCCTACCCAGCCAACCCTGGGTAAGATTTGAGGGAACTAGGCAGTGGGAGGAGGAAAACTTTTGAAAGAAAAGAGGCAGTCTCTTGCATGTAACATTTAAGCACAGTGGGGATAATTAGGGGAGACTGAAGGTTTATGAGGAGCACCTTTGGCTCAGTTATGTTTTATCTGCTTGGAGAGAAGGCATTGTCCAAGGAAACAGGGGATTTAAGTGGGGGGTGGGAGATATTCGTGAGGTATTAATTGTAATACTGAGATGGAGGATTGATAATTCCCCAGTAAAGAAGATAACTCTTGACATCTACAGAGATACTGAGAGAACTCAGTATCTCTGTCTGTAAGATTCTAGACTTCTGATGGACTTTGAACTGCCAGTCAGTACATTTCCATGTTGTTGTCTGTGACCACGAGGGCTGTGGGTATTTGACAGAGTGCTAGCCATTACAGACAGAGTTTTAGTTTTGTGAAATTAATGTGGGAGGTCAGAAGAAGTAAATCACGCCAGATTAGGGTCATCCTTATCCTTCAGACTTTTCCAGCCCTGAAGGTCCGAAGGTAAGATGTTTAAGAATATCTTCTGTCCAATTGTGCAATTTTCTTCATTAAGGCTAGGCTGAGGTTTTTAAACTTTGTGTGTGGAGGGGTGAAGTTTTCCCATCATCCCCAAACTCAGCTTCAAAGTTATTGTTCTGAAAACGGGGATGTGGCGATGGACCTAGGAGGAATTCCTCTTTCAATCTTTTCATCGGGGTGAGTCTGTGCTTGTCCCCCACCTACAGGGCTGATATCCCTAGTCCAGGACAGAAAAATGAGCTTGTGTGGGTTGCTGAGCAGTGCTAAAGGGCGGGTCGGGCACAGCTCTAATGGAAAAGTAAAGATTGGGTTTTTATCATCTTTGGAATGCTCCTGTCTTAGCAGAACTCCAGTAAATGTGGACAAGGCTGGTAAGACAGCATTATATGGTATCTTTTGGGGTTATTTGGTGGAATGGTTTCTTTTAAGCTTTTTTTTTAAAAGTTATAGAGTTGTTTGGAGTTTTGCCGAAGCTATGTAGCCACAGTTATTCAAAAACTGCATGAGGATATTGTGGCATTCCTGTTTCTTAAGGAATTGGGTTGTTGTTGTTGTACAAACTTTTTTTTTCATAATTGGTAAATAAAAACAAGCGTCTTGATTTCTAAATGCTTGTAATTTAAGCAAAATGTCTGCTCCGTTTAAAAAGGGCTGCCCCTTTCTGAAAGGCATTAGTAACATGAACAAACAGCAGAAAAGGCAGGCAGCTCTCTGCAGCTTTGGTCGGTTGAAAGCCAAGGATAACCAGGGGTCTTTCAGTTCCATGGCGTTTTAGGGCTGCCCTCTCCCAACCCCATGGTTAATGAAAGAAGATTCCCCCCCCCTCTCATTCATTACCTTTGCCCAGCCCAGAAAATTAGGGAGTGAGAGGAGGAGGGGTAGGAGCTCCATTTTACCATCAATGAGTGACCTGCAGGAGTGGACAAATCAGATGTTTGTGAATCCTGTCAATTGTATTCTCAGCCTGTAAAATAACAATTCAAAGATCTTCTTAAGCTAACTTCGCCTTTCGAAAGTTTATAAATATTACAATCTCACAGAAATCCATACTAATCTGTTTTCCCTGGTGTAGTATCAGGAAAAGTAGACTTGTGATCTCAGGAAAGCTCAAGTTTTATCCCCTTAGCAAGAAGCAGAATAACATGACTTCCACTCTGAATGGATTTTTACGGAATAAACTTACGTTAGTAAACCTGTAGCATTTTGCTAGCCAATAAGGGAAAAAATAGCTAGTTTTTCATTACATGGTCACCTGGTGGGATTTTTTTTTTTTTACTTTGCTGCAAGTAACTGTGTCTATAGCTATTTGCAAGTCTGATGTAGGCAAGTTAGTGTTTGCTTCCTTGTTTGTGTACTGTAATCTACCACCCAGATCGGTCCATTTTGGTTGTATGACGTACATGTCATATTGAGCAGTGGGTATGGTTCTCTACTGGCTTGAGAGTTTTTGCACCGACTTGTTTATGAGGGGTCCTTGATGCTCTCTGAGCTTGGTTATTTTCTTGCAGACATTTCATTACCCAGACTAGGTAACATCATCAGTACTGGCGGGGAGTGGAGTGAAAATAACCAAGCTCAGAGGTCACCAAGAATTCCTCGTTTCAACCCTGAACTACAGATATTTTCCTCTATCATGGCTTGTTTATGCATGGCAACCCAAGAGAGATTAGTTGCTGAATAGTTGGTTCTATAGTGGGCCATCATTCTTACAGTGCCCAACTTCTGTGCTTAATCATTCTGGATCTGGGCTTGGATCCATGTTATAAGAAGAAGGATGACTATACAAAAAAGGCTGGAGCTTTGCTAATTTTAGGAGGTGTGGAGGGAACCGAGCAGATGTAGCTTGATGTAGTATTATTGCTGCAATGTCTACTTCTAAGAGTGTTAAACAAGGGTATATCTTAGCTGTTCTGTATTTGCATTCTTGTAAACCTGCGTTCGGATTGGCTGAGACGCACAGCAACCTGATTGGTCGAGTGTGCGGCACGGATTGGCCGTTACGAAGCAACCGC